CGGCTGAGGATACCCCAGCAAAAACTAAATATTTTTGAACGTCACCAAAAAGTGTCGTTACCATACAAAAGAAAACTTAAATATTTTTACAAACTTTTTTAAAATATAAAAAATTAACTACATTGAATTAAAAAAAATTGTTAACGAAAATTACTTAAATACAAGTATTAAAATAAACTAAAATAATAAATTGTACAAACTAAGCTAAATAAAAAATTCCTTATTTTGAATCTAAAAGAAAACAAATATTTTTTGCCAACTGTTTAAAATATAAAAATTTAATACACTGAATAAAAAAATTGTTAAAAGAAAATTACGTAAGTATTAAAATAAATTAAAATTGTACGAAAGAATAATCAATTGTACAAACTAAGCTAATAAAAAATTCTAGTTTTTGAATATAAAAGAAAACTTAAATATTTTTTTTTACAAACTGTTTAAAATATAAAATTAAATACATTGAATATAAGATTGTTAAAAGAAAACTTTTTGAATGCAAACATTAAAATAAATTAATTTTACAAAAGAATTTAAATGTCAATGATACAGAACTTAAAATATCGTTTGTAAATTAGATGAAATTAAATTGTAATAAAGAGATTTTTTTTAAGAAATAAAAAAGTACCAAAGAAAATAAATACCATTGGACACTGTCGAAAAATTACTTATATAGAAGAAATATCATTTAAAATTAAATACATTGATTATAATTTTTATTGGTTCACAATATTTCGTGTGCAAAGGCGTGTGATTGTTAATTCACACAGATACAGGTAAATACTCATAAGCGGCGAGTGGTTAAGTGGATAAGAAGGATTGAACTAAGGGTTGAAAAGGTGAGCAAGATTCAGGGCTTTAACAGTTACTGAACCTAGGTCGCACGGGGTATAACACACGTAGCTTTAACAGTTACGAGTGTCTATACCATAGTGTCGGAAACTGTAGGTGGCTTTTAACAGTAACCTAACGTCTCCGACCCCTGGACGCTTTAACAGTGTACAGGGAAGGGCGTGTTGTCTACGGCCTGTAATACAACACACGTAGCTTTAACAGCCACGTGTGATTGTATTATATCGTGTCGAGTATCGAGAGGGGTTCAGCTGTATAGAACGGTTTAGTTTACCTCCAATTCAGTCCTTCAGAATTCAACGGAAGTGACAGGGTAATAGATAAAACAAATTTCTTGTGAGGACTTTGGACAAGACTGAGTTATCCCAGCTCTAAACGAACCGCCAGAAAAGGTTCATTACAAAACTTAAACGTATA